AGTAATTTGCATTTGCTGGTCTTGCAAGCTATTAACTTTCATTCAAAAATGCTTAAAAATACCTTTAAGTTATTCACTGTATTATATTAGTACTTGTATTATATCAGTATATATCAGACTAATGTCAAACTTGACAGAAATAGCATTAATTTTTGTGTTGGTCAATTAACAAGACACTTTTAAATTTACTTGAAAAATATACAGAAAAATCTGTTCTACATATCTCTAATTTCAGTTTCTGAAAAATCTAATCTTAGTGTCACCATGGAAATTCTAGTAAGTGAATCATTTAACCAGTCCTTAGCATTACTTTTGTTTTCAATGTTTTTACCCTTTGTGTATAATTAATAAAGAATAGAAAGCCTTAAAACTTGTTTTATGTATGACCTTCAACCAGAAAATGTAGTCAGAAGTTGGTAGCAGTTATTTCAAGATTGCTCAATCACTGTTTTCTTTATATAAAAGTATTTTCAACCTCAATTTATTCTGTATTAAGATTTCCAAGATTGCTTATTTTGGGAGAATAATTTTTACTATTAAGCTTTTTGTTTTCATGATACTCTTTAATACTATCTCATGAATGCCTTTATTCATCTATCTACATATCTATGTAACCATAAAATCACATATTAATAGGTTACTGGCTTAGGATGAGTGACTTTATTGCAAAATATTGTAACTATTTTCAATATTGTTTCTCTACAATAAGACTTGTTAATTCCCTTAAAGAAATTAGCAAAGCAAGTTAATTAAGCCAATATATATCTTTCTTTAGGTACTGTTGCATTATATGTGCAGAACCTTCTTTTTTTTTTTTTTGTTTTTTGTTTAAAGGAGTTGGATTTCTGATTGGCAAAATAAAAAAAAAGAATGTAAGAAATGGTAAGTCAGTTCCAATGGTTTTCTTTATCAGTTACATTGATGTCTCTGACATGCTTTTTTTTGGTTATTTATCTTATCATACATTTCAACTCTAATCATGACATTATTAGGTATTTGAAAAGTAATAATTCCTTTTCAAGGAGGAGATCAAAATGAATGCAAATCTATTTAAGTTAAAATCTAATAATCAATGACATCATTTCTGTGATTAGCAATTACAACATCCCAACATGAAGATACTTTTTCTTACTCCTTGCTGATGAAATTCTGGAGATGTTGATGGAAAAGTTTAGAAACCTGAATTCAGATTTTCTTTATATCTGAATGTTCTTCACATTAAGAAAATATTCAAGTGATACAAAAAAGAAAATTAAAAACAGGAAAGTGTAAGATTCCATGAGGAGAATGGGGTAAAGCATTTCAACCATCAAACTTTTTCATTTGAGTTTCGTTTACTAAGTGAGTGTTCCTTGCCTTGTGTTGTTGTATTGACATGTAAAAGGATTACAATGCTGCATATTTTTGGTATAATGTACTCTCGTCATCTTTGAGTTATTGACAAGTTTGTGATGGTGGTTCCATTACATGTTCAGACTCCAGTAATTCTTAAAGGACATTACCCATCTTGGTTGTTGAGATTATTTTGATACACGGAGATAACCATCACCAAATTACTCCTGTCTCATGCCTAACATTAAAAATCCAATGAAGAATAGCTGGTGGGTTCATTTCTGGCCACCAAATTGTTGCAACATTCTAATGAGTCTAACTTGATTCTCTATCATAAGAAATGAAATTTCCTTAGATTATCTTTCAATTGAGATATTTGTGTAAAGTTGAACATTTATACATTGTGCCTTCTTTTCTTAAGTCTGTGATGCTTTGATAAGGATCTGCTTTAACATATTCTTTAAAAAAAATTAACCAAAGTAGTTAGTTTTCCAAAGTGAGTTTTATTAAAAAAGACCAGTCAGAGATTTATATAGAATGTAATAGTGAATATGACACTCATTAAACAGACCCATTATTTACTATTTTGATTTCATGCTAGTTACTTACAAATTCATAAATTTTAGATATGTTATTGTTTTTGGAAGAATTCATTTTACATTACTGAGATTTTTCAAGAAGTTTTTGGAAGAATTCATTTACATTACTGAGATTTTTATTCATTTTTGGCCTACAAACTAAAAAGAATCTTTGGTAATGTTTACAGTATTTTTAATAACAATTTTATTATTAAATGTTAAGCAAGATTGAAGGATGAAATTTAAAGACTTTATCAGACATTTTCCTATTGAAATTATTAAATTTTAGAATCTTGGGGTGCTTACACACAGATTTGATTCATAGTTGTCTGTATTTGAAAGAGTTTAATAAAAGGTTATCAAATCAACAATGTTTATAAATGTTAAGCTAGAATGCTACCTGGACTGTTTCTTTGGAGAAACCAGTTAATCTACCTACTTTTTTATTTATTTATTTTTTTTTTTTTTGTATAAACACAATTTAAATGAAACCTAATAAATTGTTTAAATTGCACATATGAGAAAGATTTTGTTTTTAATTTAAAAATAATTTGCTGATATATATTGTTTATGGTTTTGTATTAGATTGGAATAAATTAAATGAACTCAGCTCAAACTCAATATTGCTAATGGTCCAGTGGAATGAAAACAGTGATGTCACCTATCCTGAATCCATCATAAAAAAATCAGGATGTGGAATTACTAAATGCTGAACACTTCAAATACCTTTGTATATAGATCAATTATAACAAATTTAGTAGAGGAGATAAGGAAATTGATCATAGAATGGGCTGTACTAGGGGTAGTTTTTCATCCAACATTGCAAAATGCTACAAAACTGAAACATTAACCTAAAAACTCAAGCCATGTTCTTAAATAGTCTCATCAGATCAAAATTTTCATATCTATTTCATGTATAGTACCAAACTCATTCAGAAATATCTAATCCATCAGCTGTATGCAGTCACTTTCTCAGATCAATGGTTAAAAATGGCTTTGGACGAGTGAAGCATGTAGATCTTAGTGAGGAACATCCTTTTTCAAACCTCATAGACTGGTGTTACAGAAACAGTATCACTTGACTTTCAACAGCAGTAACAATTAAAATGGATCGATATGTAACTTGAAGTGAGAATAAAAATATAATCAATATGCTGATATTCCACACTACTTCAAACAAAAGATTAGGATGTAAGCTCTCATCAATACTGGAAAGAGCAATTATTGAACTTGACAAACTTATTTTCCTGAAAAATTGTTTTAAGAGGAAGATTTCATAAATTTCAACTGAAATTAGCATTAATGGCTTGGTCTATGAATGACAAATGTTTCCTTGTAAGGATAACGGCTAATATTATCCTTACTATATTTCAGCATGGTAAAAACTGGAGTTATAGGCAACTAACAAACTATTGGAAGACATTTTTAACCTAATCTATATATTCCTCTAATGGCCAGTAAAAGTAATTTGTAGGGGACAGGTTCAATGAATAGAATTTTGGACAAAATTTCTGTACCTAACAGTATCTGTTTTTGATGGATATTTTTTTTTTTTTTAAGCATGTTTGTTTTGTATTATCAACAGCAAGACAGGTTCCTTTCTCTTCACTACTGGCCAAAATGTTTGCTGCATTTGATATATTAATTGCATATCATGACAATTGGATTTTGGCATGATGTTCTGGCTTGGTTGCAAGAAGCTAGAATGGATTATTCTGTTATAGCAGAACTACCAAATAGTCATGTGAATCTTTTGGGAGTAAAGATTTCCTTTTGAGAAAGTTGAGCAGGAAGCATGTTTGTTGACACTCCTTATCAAAGCCACATTTTTGATTATCACACAAAATTACTTTCCATCAATACTAAAGATATGTTCAAGATAAATTCATTTGGAATCAAAAAAGCAAATGGTAGCAAATGTCAGACCATGCAAATTGTTGTCATTTAAATTATGGGGTTCCTGCTTTTGCATTTTACAAATATAAACTATACAAGCTATGCTTGGTTTTGATCCTAACACCCAAGCTTTCGTTTCTAGATAAACCTCCCATTTCCTCTCTTCCCTCTCTTTTTGGCTGCTTTCAATCTTTCATTGTCATTTGATGACTCATGATTATGACCAGGATCATTTTGGATATCCAGATCACTATAAACAAATCTTTTTGGAAATGGAATGCATGGTCCTTTTTGAAACTGGATCCAGCCCCCAAGTTTAGCTAGTCAGTTTCTGAATTTGAACTTCGGGAACATAATGACATATGTATAAACAGAAGGGAATAATGTGGAGAAAAAAAACAACACATACTAATCTACTGATGCAATACAAAAAAACAAAAATGGTCACTTATGTTCTGGACTAATAATACAGGTCCCTTGTATTTCTGTCATATAATGTGCATATTTTCTTTCCAAATATATTTTACTTCAAATTTTACCCTGTACGTAAGGGTTATATTTTGAGATAGAAGTGACTGTTACCCTATATACCATAGACAACCTTAGAATGAAACCTATCATGTGCATTATATGGCAGAAAATACAGTATGGAATGAAAGAAAACTTGAAGCAACATAGTAAATCTGTAAGGTAAAGGTAATCTACTATAGTCCTAATGTTAAATAATACTATCAATATTGTTTAGTATGATGTTCACATACTACAAACTATTAAGAGGAGAACGCTATCTGATTACAAACTGAACTTTAATTATTGAAATTTATGATCTTCACTTTTTTTCTTTGCATAGCATCTTTCACAGAAAATACCTTCTACCAATTTAATCAACTTTAATTGCTCTCTTCTAAAATAAATAAGCAAAGAAAGTGCAAAGAATGACATTTATTAAATGACTAAAATGTAGAGATTGATTCAGACCATTTATTTTGTACCCTTTGACTACATTCTTTGGCTAAAAAATCTATGAAACTTCCACAATATTTTAGAAAATGTATCTAATAACATCATTCATCATTCATTGATTTGTAAAATTTAAAAATCGTTATACTTTTAAATTTATTTCACAAAATTTGTAAAATAACTTTTTCTCTCTTTGATTGTTCTATATCAGTTTGCATTTCTTTTCTTCTACAGAGAACTTGGAATTGAATATAAAATAGTTCAACGTTTTGACTTTGATTTGGATCTGATTAATTGGGCAGATGTGGTCATTTCTGCTGGTGGCGATGGAACCTTTCTTTCTGCTGCCAGCAAAATCAAAAACCGAAACAAACCTCTCATTGGTATCAACACTGACCCTGCTAGGTGAATATTCTTTTAAAAATACTTTGAAATTACTTTTAAATTGTTATCTAATAATAAAGCTTATATTGCAGCAATGTTTAACCTTCATACCTGCAAAAAAAAATGTTGTGTCATAAAGATGGTTTTACTCTTGACCCTGCTATTACTCTAGGCTCCCTCAACAATGCTTATAGTTTTAAAAAGTTATATTTGGAATAAATTCTAAATATATGAATGTTTTATATGTTTTATACGTTTTACTTATTTTTGAGAATTGACAAGACGTTTATAAAAAATATGAACCAGCTACAATGCAATGTTTTTCCTTTTATAAAGAAATAAATATGAAAAATCTTTTTATTCATAAATTTATAAAAATGTTTCTGAAGAAGAAAATTTAAATAAACACATAATGATGAAGAACTGTAATTATAAATTTTCGAAAAAAAAATGCATTTTCCAGGCATTTTCTTTTGTTTGCTAAAATAGGTTGAGAGCATTTTTTCCTTAAAACCAAACATTCTTTCAGTTATAAATTTTAGGCAAGATCACAAACACTCAATATTTTAAGTGTGCATCTCCTTATTCATTGGATGGACAAAGTTTTTCTTGTGTATAATTACAGAAGGTCTGTAATTTTTACTGAATATTTCATATTCATTATAATCATGATTACTAAGAAGAAAAAGTAATTTCTTTATATTTCATCATATTTGTCATTAATAAAATTATTGATGTTATTGTTTTTAAAGCAATAACATCAATGTTTATTGGAAAGAAAGTTTTGTTGCATTTGAAGATGGTAAAGAAACAATTACATCTTTGGCTTTAATACTTAATCAAGAGAATATTTCTCCTAATTATAATCCCATCTATTTGGCAAATTGTTAATCCCTTCAACATAAGGATTTTCATGTTTCCATGCAAAGAGACACTCAATAAATTAAATCTTCAAAATTAATAAACTGTTTTCCTTCTAAAAATGTTGTAATGATCTGAAAATATGAAACAATGTGTAAAGAGTAAGTGATGATTCTATCCAAGAATGTTTTGATATCAATTCTACACTTCTGTGATGATGGAAGTGTGACTTGTATTGAACTGTTTTACTAATTCTTGTTTTGCTTACTTAGAAACCTCATCACCACAATAATAATCATTACTGTTTTTTAGTCCTTGTATCACAATAAGATTAAAATATTGATTCTTTTAGTAATTTATCTGGGACATTATTTTATAAACAGAAGGTCCCAGGACAGAAATTAAATATATAATGATTATTTTCAAAGCTTAATCTGGTACAAAGCCACAGTAATGGGACACTTACTGATTACTCCCACTAAGCATTGTACTATAAGGGATTTTAACAAAATATTCTGATTGAAAGTTGTGAAATTCATAAAAATGTTTTTTTTTTTATGCCATATCAAAAATTCAAATAATATTAATAATATAAACATTTTTAATTATTTTCCCCATTAACTTTAGGTCAGAAGGTCATTTATGTTTACCAAAAAAGAAAACCCAAGATCTCCCATCAATTCAAGAAACATTTAATAAGATTATTTCAGGAGATTTCAGGTAAGTTTTAAAGCTACATAGCTACAAAATTGACAGTCATCATTGTTAAAAAAATTTCCAGTCCAGCTTTGTTTCTCACTTCAGATTTTCATTATAATAAAGCATAGAAATATACAGTGAGGACACCATATCTTTACTGTTTCATAAATATTATCTCATACTAGCAGTAGAGCCCGGCGTTGCCCGGGGATATAACAGTAAGAGATAGATCAAGTATCCACCATCATAAAGACTGAAAAATAAAATTGACAAAGATTATTGTTTAAGGTTGACGGACACGCATGTCTTAATTAATTTTTTTTTTTTTTTTTTTTTTTTTACGAATTGGTCAAACTCAAACAAAAACATTGTTTTCAATCGTTATGAGTCTACTGATTGAATAGAATTTTATTATAAACAATTGTCTTGAAAATGGAATTTTTAAAGCATTCTGAATGTAAAAATAAAGAAAAAGTGTGCAAGACAATAAGAAAACTACATACATGCCAAAAAAAAAAAAAAAGTGAAGTTTTGTTGAAATCGGTTGAAAAATATAGGTAGCCTTTCTGTAATCTTTTAGTTTTACAATTTATGATTTTTACTTATTGAATACAGTAAAAAAAAATTGCATATTTTGCTTGTGGTGATTCATAATTAGAATTCTGATTTGAATATATTTTGTGTTTTTCGTTGTTTCTAATGCCAAAAAAAAAAAAAAAAAAAAGTTTTTTGTTTTATCGGCTGAAAATATAGGAAATCCGCTCCCATAAATTTTAAAGTAACCCACACACACAAACAACCTGATGTGAGTTGTCCCCCTTCCACTTTCATGATGTCTCTTAATTGTGTTTTCAAATTGATTTTATGCAAAAACAATTATATTTTTCCCATTTTTGGCGCTTTTAGAACCACCACAAGGTAATTTTATGTAGTCCTGTGAAGTTTTTGTTGAAATCGGTTGAAAAAATGTAGGAAATCGATCCAATATATAAACGTTACACACACACACACACACACACACACACACACACACACACACACACAATCTGCGTTTTATAATAAGTAAGATAAGATTGACATGTTCTACTCAGCTTTGTTATTTGCATGAAACTCAAAGCAAAACCATTAACTGCTAGTTTATTTTTAAATGCACTGAGTTCATACATATGTAGTGGGGAATGAACAATTCAAATAGATTAAAAAAAATGAGTTGATTGGTTAAGGAAATTTATAGAAATTTTTATTGCAACTGAGAACATTAGTTTCAGATAGTTCTTGATTGGTTTTGTACTTTCCCCCATTAACTCCAATAAACCTTTCTAAGAATAATATTTGAATCTTTGAAAAGATTGAACAAAATCTGGCTGTGTGGGCTAAGATTTAAGATGCTCTGAATAATGCCGAAATGTCCATAATATATACAAAATTTGTAGTACAGTTATTTTTAAGTCTTACTCAAAATAAAGTAGTATGACTTTTTGTCATACAGCAGTAGGTATGCAACCAAAATAAAACAAAAATATTTCATATAAATTAACAAAAAATAACATAATTTTGATAATATTGGGTTAGGAAGAGAAAATTGTAACATTTTTCATTAGGTTGTGTTTGAACATGTGATTTTGTTTCATACAACTGAAATTTGACATACATATTCTGGAAGGTGACATTTCAACATATCTTTCTATATGATTTGTGTTTGGATTGTGAATTTAAAATTGTTTACATTAAAAGTGAAAATAGGATGCATTTTTTCATCATTTGGTACTGTTTATTTTTATTTTTTGTGCAGATGGAAATGGCGTCAGAGAATCCGGATCACAATGTCAGGAAAGTATGAAAATGATGATCCAATTGAACTTCATGACCAGCAGCTGCAGTATCCTGAGCATAGATTCACAGAGCATGTCCAAGAACATGAGCTGTTCCACAAAGGCAGCAGCATGCCCTGCAAGGAGTCAAGACGAGTTCTTCCAGTGTTAGCACTTAATGAAGTTTTCATGGGAGAATCTTTATCCTCTCGGTAAGTTGAGAAATTAATGTTAAAATTTACTTTTAATTCTTCTGAGCTTTCTAAAATAGAATGAATAATAAGAAATCCATACACCTCCCTTACAAGTGTTGGAGAGTCATCTCCTGAGGAAACTCTGTGTCTGTGGAAGCATCAGATTCGCAGATCTCAATTATCCGATCACTGTCAGATGATGAACCGTCATCAGATTCACTTGGTGATGTATCAGAATCAACGAAAAGGCAAAGATCTTTTACATGTCATGACATCCCATCAACTATTATCGTTTGTGAACTTACAATGTCTGTCACATGACCCACTTGATACCTGGAGTTACACCGATCATGGGGAGCTTTCACCCATACTCTGTCCCCAACTTTGTATATATCATGATACTTACAACGATCAGGTGGCAATTCCCTTCACTTTCAGTTGGTAATGGTGAATCATATTGGCAGGTGCATTAGTCGACAATATATCATCCTTCAGTGTGATATTATGCCAGTATACTACCTCCATTATCGAACACTGCTTTCTTGCTGCAATTCTCTTTATGCTCCAATGAGATCTTTCCACTATACCGTTTCCTGCAGGAACATAAATTTTTAAAATGAAGTTGGACTCCCCAGTCATCCAAGAAATCTTTAAAGGATATACTGCGAAATGCAGTGTCATTGTCGGTCAGGATTTCTGATGGTTGGCCTTGTTCAAAAAAATACTTTCCAACAGTCGAATGACGCTTCTTGAGTCTTGTTGAAGCAGGCATCGCCATATTGCAAATCGACTGGGGCTGCAATCAATTAAGGTATCAATTGTTGCCCACCGTAATGCATAATATCCATTCCTAAGCTGGTCCAGATTTCAGTCAGACTTAGGTTGCCATGAGGCCGACGACTTGAGGCTGGGTCAATTGAGTGGCATTCTTTACATTTTCTGGTCACTGCCTTGACGGCTGCCTTGGATGTCGTAGAGTAAACTCATCTCACAAAATACAGCATTCGCCTGATGCCAGGATGTCCACTCTGGCAGTGTATGGCACGTATCTGATCAGGAGAGGTTTCATTCACCATGGAAGCACATATCGGGCATGTTGGTTCGATTTCCTTCTTGATCACATCATACCATTGTTGCAGTACTCTGGTGAGCTTATCTGCTCGATTCTCACTTGATGTTACTAAACTTATCGTGATCAATAAGTTATACTCTTGAATCAGCTTTTCAAGAGTACTCAAACACCTCCGGATCAGCATCTCACTTGCCGCCTTAGTTCGTATTCTGGCTTTGCCAGTGAGCATGTTAGATACCCACCGGTGCACACACGCAGAGTCCGTGAAGCAGTGTAGCTCCATTGCGCCCCACTGTAGTGCTAAATTGACGCCCTTCAGAATAGCATCCAATTCTGATAAATTGATATGATGGGCGTCCTTCACAGGCCGCTGCCAACATGCGTCTTCTATAACGCTTCCTTCAACCTCCAACGAAACCACTGTGGTGAGAGAACTTGCATTGACCAATACCTCATTGTGTGTCTGCTTGTGTTCCACTTACCGTGTGCAGGGTCATTCTGGTGTATTCTCTCTGCTATGTCCTCAATCATGTCCTTAAGGGGAGCATCTGTCACTTCGTTGTTCCAGCCAGACGTGATCGATACTGTCCTGCATTTTACAAATGATGCAGCAACATGAAGCCACCCACACACAGGAACATGACCCACCAGTTTTCCACACCACGAGAAGACGTTATGTCATGTCAGGACCTGAAGGAATGCCATTTTCACATTTTCACTTAAGCGTGTTGTTATCTTGCTTGACATGCAAACCCAGCCCACATGTGCTGTCCCATTACTGTTCCTGATCCTTGCAGGTCAAACCAAATGCAGCCAACTGCTCCTTCACATGAGCTGCTGAAATCATGCTCTCATCAATATGAATATCATCAATATATGATGAGGTTGCCCATCGAACTGACTTGTCTTTCGACAATAGCCTTCGTTATGTCTGGTGCAACATTCAACCCGAAACCTATTCGGGTCACACAATATCTTCACCCCTTGAAGATTACATTTTGAAAGGGCCAAAGTGACATGGATATGTACTTGTAGGTAGGCCTGCCGTAGGTCAAGGATAGCGATATCCGGTCATTTTTTAAGCCACTTCTTCAGTTTCTATGTACACATGTCAGCATTGGCTGCGTGTGCGTCGAGACACTCATTCAGCTCTTGATAGTCCAATACTGGCTGCACTTTATTTTTGTTTTTCTGCACCACCGCCATCAACGGAATTAAACCTTTTGGAGGACCAAGTTCCTTTTCAGGATAATGCTGCAACCAACCATTATCAAACTAGGTCTGCAGCTCACGGTCGTATTCCTCCTTGACTCCTGTTGGTATTGGGTACTTGGGCATCCGATTTCGCAAACTCTCCGGTGATCGACCGTCAGGCCACTTCCATGATGTGACCCATATCTTCCAGTTTGGATCAAATTCGGCACAGAAATCAGGTTCTTCTACTTTAATAGTGGCACAACAGACTGTCCCACGCTTGGGAAACTGTACATCACCACACTCTGTTATTTGGAGTCTGCCCAACTTTTTAATGGGGTCGAACCCAAGCAACAAGTCAGACAGTACTTGCATGATGATATTGGCCTCCTTTTCTATTAACAGTATCTACACATATCACTGCCATTGCTGTTGGCACAATATTGTCATAATTGAAGCTACTTCATGCTCTCAAGAAGTGTTTACTCTTTGTTCAAATATGTGTTGAAGAATATTTTCCTCCTCCATAGAAAATTTAACTATAAAGGATGTGATTGTTTCAGTGTGATCCAAGATAAATGCTATAGAGATATATATATATATATATATTGTCATCCACAGACAGACTGTTTTGCTGTATCACAGCTCATCAGTGTGGCTAGATGTCCGATTTCCTCTAGCTAAAATCGAAACTCAACTGAATTAGCGTCAGTTGGGGATTCTACCACTAAGCTGTTCATGCACAGCAGTGATGAAGGGGAATTTAAGCGTATATATATATATATATATATATATATATATATATATATATAGTTTAAAAATCAGGAGGTCAATTAAAATACATGACCACAGTTTTGAACTGGCAATCTCGTTGGGTGATACTTTTAAAATAACCACTTCAATGCTTTATTTAAAAAAAACACAAAGAACACTACATAATTATCTTTCAAAAAAATTTTGGTTTTCCTTTTTACTGTATATATTTACGATACTCTTGCATTCCTGTCCCTTTCCATTCTTAAGCTACTAAAAAATATTACCTTACATGGTTGGCAGCTGACAAGGGCAGGTTACTGCGCATGGTTTCATGCATTGTATATAATATATATTCAAATATGGTGTGGACAGAAACTTGTGAAAAATATGACCAAAATAGACTCATCCACATACAAAAATCGGTTAAAAATAATGGAGGTATTAATAAAAACTCTCAGTAATATCAATTAGGAACATGGCTACAACATGCGCCCATGTTATTGCAAAACATAATTCAGTTAAACAAAAAACTTCCTTGATAATAGCTAATAATTATTTGAAATTTCTTGGATCTGCAGATTATTTGAACAGTTTTTACACACTTGTATGAGTGCAAGTAACATTTATTAAAAGCTTAATTGCAGTGCCTTTTCAGTTGTCTTCAACGGAACTTGTATAAAAGTGGGATTGCTTCCTAAATACATAAGATATATATATATATATATATATATATATATATATATGTGTGTGTGTGTGTTAAAGGTAACAGTAGCAGATAGACTGATTTTGCTTGACATTTAACGTGGTACCTCCATAGAAATGTGATATCTAAGGTTTAAAATTAATTTTTAAATGTGAAAAATCTTTCTTGAAGCTTTTTATTTTAGATTTAATTTGAAGCTAATAGATTAAATTTAATATTTCCCATAAGCAAAATACTTTGCTGTATTTCGAAACTAATTTAAATTAACTGGAAGGAGTATTTGTTTGGAACTCACTAAAAATGCTGATTTTAGCACCATTTTTAGCCATCTGTCATCACAATGATTTTAGCCCCATTTTTAGCCATCTGTCATCACTCTTTATTAAAAAAAAACTTTAAAAAATGTAATATACTTTTCTGAAACTTTTTGAGGAATATTAACCTATTTAAATTTTAATCTGACTTTTTTTCTGATAATATTGTGTATGGCCATTCATATTTACAAAATTCGGCATGTTTATACACACACACACACACACACACACACACACACACACACATTCTTTTTAAAATATTTGCAATCATTGAATTGCAGTAAGCTTTTCCATTTATGATTAGTAAATATAGTTTTCACTTAATAACAATATTTCCTTCTTGATCGGTAATTAATACAGAAATTTAAAAGATTTAAAACATTCTAATTAAAATTTAAAAAAAAAACATTAAAACAATTCTTGTAAAAGTCCATTATTCATTGAAAATTTTTCTTTCTTAAGACAATAGTGTCCATAATATGCCTCATTCAGAAAAGCAATTAAAAGCTTTTCTAATTAAATAATGTCTTAATTTTATTGCATTTTTATTTTACAATTTAGAGCAGATTTTCAGTAACTGGAGGTCCTGTTTTACCAAAAGAATATGTTTTAAATTCTCCCAGGAGTTGTATGTATAACTAATATAAGCAGTACAAAAATTAAATTTTAAAAATTTCATAAAATAAAATAACCTGTAAAAAAAAAAAAAAATGAATTGAAGATTATCTTTAAAAAAAAAAAAAATGGAACATTTCTAAAATAATTAATTTTTGAATAATTCCTGAAAGTTTCATTAAAATCCAACAACTATTTGGATTTTGCAAAAATTTACCAATCAGTGTGTTTTTTCACTACAAAAAAGACTATATTCCTGTACTAATCTCTGCTCCCACCCCTCACTGATGCAAGAAAAACAAGATTTTTAACCAAAATTTCAAACATTCTAAAAAGGATCAAAAATATAATAATTTAATAATCAAAAAATCCTTTGGCCTTCCCTCTTAATAATTACATAAAGATTTTGATCATTAATCTTTGTTTTTATCAAGTTTGGGACATTTTTTCATTATGCTATGTTCATTCTTTAGCAGATCCGTGCAGGCACCTACACTTAACTGAGTAACAATTCAAAAGCAAAAAATTTGTCATAAACCAGGTAAATACCATTCACATGATCAACAGCAGAAAATGTACTTGAAAAAGCTGATTAGCAATCAGTTGAATATTCATTTCAGTAGTAACATAAAAAGAAACTAAAAGTAAAAGACACAAATGTAAGTCACTTAAAATACTTCTTGAAACAAACTGATTATTAATTGAAGCTAAATTTTAACTTTATTTATGAATGTGGATTGAATCGAAAAAGAATTTTAACATACTGTTTATTTAACAATGATATTACTTTTTTCTTTGACTTACTTAGAAATGATAATTAATGAAATTCAAATTTTTATCAGCTGTGATCTGCTTTTTGCACAGAATTTATACTCGAGTTAATGTTGTGATTCTTTATATACTTCTTGAGGTTGTGTATTTAATAGTAAAATAATCCTACAATAAAATTTTAATTTAACTGATAAATAATACTGTTTATATACCAAATTTTTCAGTTTAAGAAAATAAAGAGTTGTTTAGAAAACTGATTGATGATCAGTCAATCACTTCAAATACTGAAACAAAATTACCCTGCTAATTTACATACAAATAAATTTGTTTATGAAATAAATTGTTTTGCATTAATATATTGATGTTAATACATATAGCTTTACAGTGTCATCTTAAATACTTTGCTAAAATATAAAAAGAAATTATATTAAATTCAACTTTAAATTTTTTGAAGATGATCCAATGTTTGGTTAGATTGTTAATTTTATAACTTGAGTCTCTCCAGTCTGTATGAAAAATGTAAATATTTACTTTCTCTTATTTTCTGATTTTGTTCATGGTGATTTAATATGAATACTATTTTTTTTCTCAGTGTGTCCTACTATGAACTAATGTTAGACAATGCACCAAGGATCAAATTAAAAAGTTCTGGAATTACTGTCTGTACAGGCACTGGATCAAGTTCTTGGCATTTCCATATCAATCATGTACCACAGCAATCTGTTAAAGAGATTCTAAAATTAGGTGAATATTTGCCTATGGCCATTTTCTCTTGACTTATTTTAAATTGTTATTAGTACACCAATCAATATCTAGGTTTGTCCTTATATGATCAACAAATTTGAAAGTTTTTACCTTTTGAAACTGAAATACAATTAAATTTAATTGCAGGTTTACCTTTATTAATCATATCAAATGAAGTGTTTCTATTTTCAAATTAAATTTCAATTCTATAATTATCTATGAATTAGTTACATCTAATTGGAAATCATGAAATCCATTGAATTTTTACAGAAAATTTTAAAGATGATTAAAATATTTTCTTTAAAATTACCTTTAATTTTTTTTTTGTTGTTAAAGTAGTTGCTGATCAAACATTTCTCATTACATAACTGGTTTCAGCTTTTACCAAAAAAAAAAAACAAAACTATACTCTTGTTAATTGCTACTTTTCCCTTTTAGCAAGTAAAGTTGCTGGATGCAATCCACATACATGGAATAATGCAGTTGTAAAAGAAGTGACAGAAAAATTCAACCAGTCTTTATGGTTTGATGCTGAAGAACTTAAAATGGCGTATACAATTCGTGATCCTGTTATGAACAGTTAGTACTTGATTATCTATTCACTATTCAACAGTCATGTGTTATGTCAAAAGATTCATTGTGTTAAAATTATTAGGTCTTCAACTTCATGATAATCATACAATGCAAGAATGCAAGTAAAAAATATTTACTAAGGTTAGTAATATTTGAAAAAAATTTAAATGGCTTTTCTTTATCAGTTGTTTGTTTAATTCTTCTGTAAGCTTACTGACATATGTATAAGTGACAAGTACACATTTTATAAAAATACTCTTTCCTAATGTATTCCCATAATAAAATAAATGGCTCATGATTTATTCACAGGTGTGTTTCAAATTCCTAACCCACGGGGATGTGTTAAAAAGTAAGTTTTGACCAATCTGTTTCATTTCATTCTTTAAATATTGCTACAGTATGAAAATATTTTCAGTAATGCCTGATTGTAAGAAAAGTTTGTTTTGAATTTACTGTAGTTATGTTTTGGGTACCTTTTCCTTCTAAGATTAGCCAAACAGTGTGAAAATCAATGTGGCCAAAATTAAAAACCTACAAGTTAATAAACAATTGATTTAGTGTTTGTGTGTAGAGCAAAGGAAAAGGGCAAAAAATTGTATGTTTAAGGACAAAGTACAAGAGAAATGTAGCACTAGTCAAGAAATCGAGCAAAAATTCATTTTCAATAGTCTTCAGACAACTTTTGTGAAGAAAACTGAATCATTACTTTTTTCTTTGCTTCAGTCTTGCTTCTTTCTACCACTTTTCTGTGGGCTAGGACAGCAGGATTATTCTTTCTTATTTTTAACCACAACTGATTTTTGTCAGTTTAATGCATTGCTAAGAGGAAATGAAGAGCTATCTTTATATTCTGATAGCTACTTTTTGTCATTACTTATAGAAAGAAACTAAATCTATATAAGTTCCATTCCTTCACAGCCAGACTGCAAACACTATATCTGTTTACATTTAAAATCCTAGCTGTTTGTTGCCTATCCTTTGGCCTTTTGATGATGTCATCCTCTGTGGCTAATGAACATATGGATCATGCACAGCCTTAGGTTCTTAACAAGCTTTTCCACCTTAGTCTTTCTTTTTTGAAGCCAGGAGTGATGACCCACAATAACTACAAAACCTGCCTTGTATAGAACTGAATTTCTAATTTACTCGGCTAATGCATAGGAATATTTGTGTCTGTGTTTGTTGAAGTCTGAATATAAAAATACACACAATTTGCTGGCTAATAAGAGTCCAAATGATGAGCAGGATGATAAATTTGCTAGTAAAATTATGATTAATTTTGTGATATTTTTGTTTGTACTTTTATTTCAGTCATTTTGTTAAAGAAATGACATTAGTTTGTAATTATTTAACACATTTGCTTTTCATTCTTTCCAGGTTGACTGTGCATTCTCGTATGTGGGATGCTTGTCTTGTTGTTGACGGTGGGTCTTCATTTGCCTTTAATGATGCTGCTGAAGCCACCTTGGAAATTCACGAGGAGGATGCCTTGCGGACTATCACTCTGGACTAATATGACCTGATGATGACCCTGACATTCTACAACACAGTCTTTCATTTTGCTTATAATTCCTGAGAACAATTATGTTTTTACTGGTTTCCTTTGCTCAATGAAATGTCTTTAATCATGTTTCATGTTATACTCTGGTGATTATAGTTCTTAATTTCATGAAAATTAAATCACTTTAAGAATAATCCAATTTACCTGCTGTTCAAAAATCTTTTACATCTATATTTTTTCTTTATAGAAAAAATATTTTTTACAATTAAAGCCCTTACAAGTTTACTTTCTTTCAGATTAAAATATAGTCTATTTTAAACCTTTTGTCAATCAAGATCATTATAGATTTCCAAAACTCTGTATTTTCAAAATGCAGTGCTTGTCATTTCGCATTCAAATAAAGCATGGATTGTTTTTGTATTTGTAATAAATAGCTATTTTTTTGTGTGTGACCCCAAATAATGTAGCATTTTCGGCTGAGTTACCCATGTCTGCAAAAATGGCTTTTCCCATTGTTAAAGATTGTTAAATGTCCTCCCATACATAATATCTGAAACAATGCTATTCAAAAAATGGAAAGCATCAAGCAGTACCATCAAATTTATTTGGTGCTGCTTAAAAAAAAAAAGTACTGATAAATACTAAAAGTAGCCAATGATGTTATGAAAGCAAAGCATTTGGGCTCAGTTTTTTTATTTATTTTTATTGTAATTATAACTATTACACTAATCCAAAATTGCAATCATCTATTTTGACTCTTAGAATCAGAATATTTTGTATTCTATATAAATATCTACTTAGATCAATTTATCACCAGTAGATAATGGCAAATAGTATATAAAATTGTAAGGATTTACTATTTGTGGATTTTGGTTACTTTTTAAAGAAATATATAAAGTTGAAATACAAATAGGGTACTGAAATGTTCTCAACAATTCCTAGAATCTGACCAAATATTCAAACCTCTTATTTTTGGAGGAATCACTTCTTGGTTGATTCAAGAACTTTTCATCACCTCTTATATATAAAAAACACACACACACACACACACACACACACACACACACACACAAAATGGTAAAATAGAATTGTGATATTACAGACTTATTTGGGATGAATGTATATTCATGGTATTTACTGTTTGCGAGAAATGTTAAAAACATTGCAAATTACAATGATTAAAAAATGTCAGTGTATGATGTGTTATTTCAGTGTTAATACACCCTGTGAAATAACACTCTCCCTACACTGACGTTTTTATGTATGTTTTTTCTTTTTCTTTTTTTTATGCTGCAGAATTGAGAATGCATGTATTCATATCTACACTGTAACAAATTATTAAGGAGGTGACAATTTTCCATTTTGTCTCAAAACTACACGTTGGAATTAACAAAATTTTCACAGAATGATGGTAACAGTTATATGCATGTGTCTTGTAAAAAGTGTTAAGTTTTGCAAAAATACACAGAAACTAAGGTCATTTACCTAATTTACATATAACTGTTCCAAATTATTAGCAAAGTGTAATTAAAACTCATGTAAGCAAGAAAATTGCTTCATATACAGATTGTTATGGACACATACAGTAACCAACATTAAATAAATAGAAACCAACAAGTACACAGTTCAAAAATAGTAGTGGAGCTGGTTAATAAAAGGATAATATGATTCTCTTCTTGAAATGACATGGAACAAGTCAATTTCTGGATCTCTTCTAATGTAATTCCACATGATACATTCACTATTTCTTGCCACAAGTCCTTGCTTTTAAATTGGCATCCATTCTCATAAACCCATTGTTTTCATTGGGTTTAAATCTGGAGTATTGGCCAGCCAGTTCATTTTCCAAGGCCCACATGAACCTAATTGTTGCAGATACTCCATAGTTTAAGTACTGCATGTGAGGCAGCATTATCTTGCATAAATATGATGGTTCTCCTGAACGTGATCCTTTGCTTTTTTAACTAGCTTTCAAGTTGCTCTCTTAGGAGGGTTGCTGTCATTTTAATACTGTCAGGCACTTTCCACGGACCAACCATGACACCTCCAATAATACCAGCCCAAATTATGATACCCTTCCTCCTTGTTGGCATCTCAAGTGTTAATGATGATATCATTTATTTATGACTCAACTTTTGCTCCAGGGCCATCAGTGGTAGCACAATATTCATCTGTGACCAAGACCTTTGTGTAGTCAACCTTCATGCTATCTTTTGCACATTTCAGATGCTTTTGTATGTGTCCTTTTGTCAATGGAGGCATTGTCACTGGTCTCAATGATTTCCCAACCTTTTTTAGAAGACAACATCAAATAATTTTGGACACAGATCTTTTTCCAATGCACCTGAAAAGTTCTCCAGTGGTCAGACCTGGGTTATTTACAGCTTCACATTTACTTTGTGATAGAGAACATTGAGAAACAACCCTCAAGTGACCCTTATCTGTCCTCTTACATACCCCTTCGTAGGTGCTGCAATAAACCTTTTTGCAGTTTGATGATATCTTCCAATCATTTTGGATATTTCTAATGTTGATTTATCTTTTGCAAGTTCAGATATTATAACAGACTTCTCAGAAGCGGTTAAGTCACAATTGCGACCCATAATTATGAAATCACTCATTAATATTTTGGAAGACTGAAGTATTGTTTACACTTGCACAGGACCTTACAGTTTTTACACAGTATGCGCATATAACTATTGCCATCATTTTGTGAAAATTTTGTTAAATTACAATGTGTAGCTTTTGGACAAAATGGAAAATTGTCATCTTGTTAATTTGTTACACAGGGTATTGACACAAGCATTTGGCTGAAAACAGTTCCAAGAAGTTTGGCTTTCATGAAAATGATATCAAATACTACAAACAGGTTTTTAACTCTTAATCTGCATAAATTGTAATTTTAATTTCATTAGAAGCTTAACAATTCAACTTTTGTTCTAAACCTACACTGCACTATGCACATCTATAAACAATACTAAATTTTTGTTTCTCTTTATATTCCCTTATATTTTAAATATCTAAATACTTCTTAGTTCCTCACAGGTAAAAAATAAAAATGTGTTTAGTGTATAGAATGAGAAAACCTTGTAGAGAAAGACAAGACTTCTATTTTTATTTTTAACAATAACAATTTAATTTGTTTATTCCCAAGGTTTTTTGCTTGCACAAAAAATAATTTTACTTCTGGCGAAAAGAAAACTAATTAAAATTTAAAGCAAATATTCTGTTCCACTTTTTTCTTTTTGGTAAAGTTGTTGATTTGATTTTTACTTAAGTTCAGTCATTTATAGACATTAAGAAAGTTTTTAAAATGTTATTCTGTCTAAATACATTTGTGTATTAAGCATTTTAGAAAACCTTTAATGCCAATTTTAAAAATATGTATTTTTTTTTTTTTTTTGCATGCTTTGTGTCAGCACTAATTATGAATAAAAGTTTATTTTCTTAAAAGCTAGTTCCATCAATGATTTTGTACCTCTTAAAATTGTAATCCACCTGTTTTCTAAAACTTGATGTTGAAAATATTAAGCTTCTCAGTATTGTTCAAATTTTTTTTTTTACTCTATTCCAAGAAACTTTGTATAAAGGTTAAACCAGGAACCTCACAGTAATATATTGTGTATTTGTCATCCATTTCAGCTTGACTATTGTGCTTACAAAAAGTAATTTATATCCATATTTTTTCAATTACCTTTATAACATTTTAGCTTTGAAATTTAACTTGTAACACATGCTTAAGAATCTAAGCAGATATTTGTAAAAAAAAAAAAAAAATTTAAAAAATGCTACATTGTTGCAACACCATGAAGAAGAAAAACAAAGCTGCTTGTTTTTGACTGCATTCTATACATTTCTAGTTAGCATTTTAAAGGCTAACATTAATGTGTACTTGTGACATTTAAAAATAAACAGTAACAATTTCTTTGGTTGGGCTATTAGTAGAAGCATTGTAGGTGATTAAAAGCATGCAAAAAAATTGATGACTGTTACACACAAAAATATACTTGGCCATTCCAGTCTGACATTTGAATTTGACAGTCTCAAAGTTTTTCTGGTAAAATCTCTTGCGTTGTATTTTTTTATTTATTAAAAATTGATATTGTACTTGGGAAATGAATTCTTGATTGTCAATATTAACCTTTTTTTTTTTTTTTATTATTGCAATTTTTCTTGTGTTATATGTCACTGAAGAAATATTCTCAAACTCAGTAACATAAAAATAGGTAAGTGTCAAGACAATCCTTTCATAGGGCCATGTGGATAAAATGTTTGTATTTGTTAATATTGGTATGGAGAAAATAAATCTTTTAAACCATTTATGAATTTTTCTTTTTCTTGCTATTTGTATTGCAATATTTCATTATATCTTTGCATGGAATGTGTAGGTCACTGCACAATTTCAAATAAGATCTTTGTCTCTTTAGCTTTTTAATTGAAATTCACATCCTTTACGTAAGCATGTTATGCACTTTAATCAATTACTGACATACTTTTATGATGTTCTTGAGTAGCATATATCAGTATGTAACTTGTCCTCATATCTGTCTGAATTATTTTTCTTCTGTGCTTCATTTAGTAAGTAATGTCTATTTCTCTTTAATTACAGCAATTAATAGAATACAAAAATGAACTTGAAAGCCTTAGGACTCCAAATGTAGTGGTCAACATCATCTTAATTACCCTATGCCACCTTTTAACAAGGATATATAGCTCTGTTTAATGTTTTTAGCCATGTGCCAGTTTTATTTCATTGAAATACTTTTGAGTACCTATTCAAAATGGACTAATTACTAGTGAATAAGGCTAGGTTGTCAAACCATTATCTGGTTTTTAAACTGCTGTGAGGCCTTATGTTGCAAAAGCACATAATTCATTTTCAAATGTAACTTATCTTGAAGAAGCAATGTTATGAGTTTTTATAATGTGCTCACATTGAAATCATTATTAATATTGGTGCCATTGGGTAAGAGTATAGCTTTCACTTCTGTTCCTCAAACATAGTGACCATC